GTAGGGTTGGTGGGTGGAGTGATGGAGGAAACGTAGGTCTCCGGTGTGAACCTCCGCCCTCTTCTCCCTTCCCTGCCTCCTGCCTGGCTCTCAGAGCATCATTACCAGCCACAGGAAATTCCAAGCTCCACACAGCTCCCGTGGACACCTGGACTGACTTGACTGGACCCTCCTACCCGGTCTCCCCACAGCCCTCTCTGCTCTTCCTTTGAACTCTGTTTCACCTTGTCCCTGTCTCCGATTTAGTCCCAAACACATACCTGAGTGGAGACCAGAGAATATGGAGCCCCAGGGTTTTCTGCAGACAGTATCCATCAGGACTATATAAAGGGTGGAGAAATGAGTGTCAGCAATGGTTTAGCTTTTCTTTCAAACTTCAACACCAGGATTCATTTTTGTCCAAGATTTTTGTTTGTTTGGTTGGTTTTGTTTGAGATAAGATCTTTACTATGCAGTCCAGCTTGGCCTTGAACTCACTGTGTGGCCCGGACTGGCCTCAGACTTACTATCCTCTTGCCTCAGCCTGCCAAGTGTGACGATTACAGATGTGTGCTACCACATCTGGCCTCAGTGACTTTTTAAAATAATTTTTGAAAATTGTATTCAGACACCTTTGCAATTCACGCAGTGTACAGTCATCTTGGAGGTGGTTCCCTGGACATCTTACGACTTGTTTCTTTTTTTTTGTAAATCCCCTCTCCTCCCTCTTTCCCTCTTCCTCCAGCTCTGTCCCCTTTTCCATACTTATTGATGTTATTTATCTTAGCTCATGTTATGGAACAGAATGTTTACAGTACAGACGGATTATAGTCTCCCGTGCATGGCACGATTTATTCCTCTCACTCCCCCTTCCACGTCCTCCTCACCCCTCACCCTTGCTCCCTTGGACATCTCCCTACTGCAAGAGATCTGTCCCCTTGTCCCTTTCTCCCCATCCTTTATCATTTTATTTGTTTGCACGTTGCCTCACTCAAGTGAGAGACACCATATGGTATTTAAGCTTGTGTGCCTGGTTTATTTTCCTAAACATTATATTTTCCAGGTGCACCCATTTTCCTACAAATGTGTCATTCTTTATAGCCAAGTAGTATTCCATTCTCTCTCTCTCTCTCTCTCTCTCTCTCTCTCTCTCTCTCTATATATATATATATATATATACACACACACACACAC